ATTTATTTATTCATTAATTGTGTTCATTTACTCTATATAATTATCATATTTATTTATTTACTTATCAAATTTATTCATCTTTTTACATATTAAATGTATTAATTTATTTGTGTATTTATTTTCTTTCTTTTTCTCAGAAAATCGTTCTTCCAATTATAAATTAATGGGTACTACAGGTATTGGGCCTCTACAAGGTTTAGATTTTAACGATTAATATTATATGACACCATTGTATTTGTTGTTTATTCCATAATGATAAGAGTCCGATTTAAATGGCAAATGATACCCAATACTCTATACTAATTACATGTAAACTAACACTCTCAAAACTAATTAAGAAATATTGATATTTTCAAATATTCAAATATCCAAAATAATAACGAAAATTAAATGTTAAGCTATCCATTTGAAATCAGAATTAATGAGTTGATTTCAATACGAATTGGCGGTGTCGCCATGCAAAAGATAAAGCTATTATCTTTGTATTAATGAGGAGGCAAACTGACAGGATTTTTTTTTTCTGGTGGGGGGGGTGTTGGTGTTGGTTGGAGGGGGTATTAGAAATAAAAGGAAAAAAATCTTAATTCACCGACGAAAAACTGTCAAATTAAAACCTATTCGAAACAAAATTTATATCATGTCATAGACTCAGAATCAACTGTCACTGCGAAGATCAATTTTCATATCTGATCGACCTACTTGTACCATCCGATCCATTTAATGCAGCACATTTTGGCCAAGAGAAAATATGGTGGTGTCACAGACTATCATAGTTTCATACTCTTTTCTTTTTTAATATATCTTTTTTTAATTTCTGATTGAAAATAGAAAGAAAGAAATATTGGTTGGAGTGATAGTTGCTGACTTGTTTATCTGATATTAAACATTGTTCTCTGCCACCAGCAATAATTTGTGACAATCTGGTTGACAGTTATTTTATACTTTCTTCACTAATAACTTCTCTTGTTTTCAAATTTATTTTCTTCTTTTTATTATTACTTTACAATGTGAACAGATTAATTTCTGATTTAGTTCTCTTGTTATTCAGATGATTAGTTTCTTTTATGACAATTCTGATGTGTTACTGTCAATTGTAAAATACAAATTAGCTATAGCCAGAAAAATGTAGGCTACCTAGACATTACCGTTGAAACAGTTGCACTTAAAATTCTTGGTGAAAAGTATAAAGGATAAAAAATTATCAATATTCTTCTTACATATAAGGGTGATTTAAATGGTGACAATTTTACTTGGTAAAATTTATATAATCATCTGAAAGACATTCCAAGTGCTACAAAGAAAGATCAAAACAATCGTTACAAAGTGTAAGAATGTATTTCTGTCTCCATTTTTAATCTAACAAGTTTTCTACCGTAGTAACATTCAAAAGACGATCTTGCTAACTTTGAGTAGTGAAATCCAAAGTAGAGCAAAACGAGTCCTCTTTTGGTTCAGCTAGAAAATTATACTGGTTAAAAATAATACTTTGCCTGTTAGATTACAATGGATACGAACAAAGAAATTGTAATGTAATATTAATTTGATTGGGTTTGGTAAATGATTATAGCAAGGACAGAAAATAAAAGCAAAATTGCAACATGTCTGTATGTCGAGCTAAATTTTAAGCTTATTACACAGGCAAGTAATTCAAAATAATTGAACCCATTTCATTATAATTTATAAATCATTTATTGCAGTTGATAAGCCTTCATTTTGTGCAGCAGTAAAACAAATATTTCTTCTATACTACTAGGCTTAGAAGCGTTTTTGAATAATTAGGCTACTCAGTTTAATGGATATTTTGTGTTATATATAGATTTTTTTTCTTTAGTCATGGCGCCTGTAAGTCCAACTGATGGATATACACTTATTGACCAAGTTTTATGAATTGAAAATGTTATGTCCACTCTAAGAGATAGTTTTCCTTTCACATAAAATGACTAGGTTTCGATAAGTTCTATAATTGTCCTTTTTACAGTGGAAAACTATTTGTTGTATTCCCCCATTTTTAGGTCGAAATTCTTTCACATTTTAAGGGACATGTTAAGATAAAAAAAAGTAATATTGATTGAACCACTAAAAAGACTACATTTCCAGTGATCCTTTTAGCATTCCCAAAAGAGCTAGATTTTAATTTTAAAGACGTTAAATGTCCATAATTATGACAAGGTGATCTTTCACTTTCTTTATTCAGGGATAAAATTACAACATTTCAAAATTGGTTCGTCTTATTAGTTTCTCGTCTCTGAAAATATAGTTTATCTATACTTCTTATTCAAAATTCGCTTGAATACATATCCTACGATGTATCATTTACTGACAAAACTCTGTAAGCTCGAGAGCTAAATTAATGTTCATGACACTACATGCTAATGTTGATTCTACAAATCGTAAATATTTATATCTTCGAGCAAACATGTAACAAACATAAAATATCACACAATTCAAATTTAAAATATATTTTCATTGATTATTGTTTCATTTTGCGTTTTTGAAATAGATTCTATTTTCACATTTTTTGTCATTTGTAAATGACTATTGTCCTTTAACTTTTCAAACATATCTCATATTCATACAAATCTCCTACTCATACAAATTTCATATTCATACAAAACACACCTTCATACAAATCTCATATTTATACACATCTCATATTCATACAAATCTCATATTCATATATAAATCTCATATTCATACAAATCTCATTATTCATATAAATCTCATATTCATATAAATCTCATATTCATACAAATCTCATGTTATACACATTTCATATTTATAAATATCTCATATTCATATAAACCTCATATTCATACAAATCGCATGTTATACACATTTCATATTTATAAATATCTCATATTCATATAAACCTCATATTCATACAAATCTCATATTCATACAAATCTCATATTCATACAAATTTCATATTCATACAAATTTCATATTCATACAAATCACATCTTCATACAAATCTCATATTTATACAATTTCATATTCATACAAATCTCATATTCATACAAATCGCATCTTCATACAAATCTCATATTCATACAAATTTCATATTCATACACATCTCATATTTATACAAATTCATATTCATATTCATATAAATCTCAAATTCATATAAATCTCATATTTATACAAATCTCATCTTCATACAAATTTTTATATTCGTACACATCTCATATTTACACAATTTCATATTCATACAAATCTCATATTCATATAAATCTCATATTCATATATATCTCATATTCATACAAATCTCATATCTATACAAATCTCATATTCATATAAATCTCATATTCATATAAATCTCATATTCATATAAATCTCATATTCATACAAATCTCATATTCATATAAATCTCATATTCATATAAATTTCATATTCATATAAATCTCATCTTTATACAAATCTAGTCTTAAATGTCCTAGTTAATTTACCAGAACAGAATTTTACGTAAATCTTTAAAAAAATATGAATTCTAAGAGTGCTTTTGAGTAAGAAATCGTCTTCCTAAAATTGATTTATTTTTATACTGTTACCTCTACTTGGTCTGTGTTTCAGAAGGAAAGTATCAGCTATTACACTTTATACCCACAGTTTAGACCATCTTTTAAACAAATCATACTTTCGGTCATTCATACTTATCTGTCATACTTTTCAATTTTTTGGCAATAATGATTACAAAAGAACGTATCTATAAATTAAATCAACATTTCATTTGACTTGTAATCCTTGTCTTTCAAGTTTCCAATATTTCTAATTAACAGCTCGCAAAGTTACCATCATACCATATGGTACGGCGTCTTTAAACAAATTAAAATAGGAAAATTGCTAGGCTTGAATTTCAGCAGTTGATGTATTAAGCGAATATGAACCAATATTGAAAATTAATACATTATATTTTTTCAAGTATCATATATTTTTTTATTAATTTTAAATCTTTGAAACTTTTCTGATGACATGTTGGTCTCTGAGCGGCGATTGCTAATTGATAGGTTGAATGTTCAGCACGCGCCAATCGTCTGATTATCCAGATGATTGTGATGAAGTCCATCATTATCTCACTTAGTTTCTGAGACTGGGTAATCTTTCTAATAATTAGATAAACCAATGAGATGGCAGTTGATTTTTACCTGTCTTTACCTTAACAGGGGTTTGAAATAAATGACAGGTACCATAATATTACTAGCTCCTTAACAAGTTATTCTCTTCGCCTTCTGTCAGTTTATATTAGAGAACCAATGGGTATGTTGTGGAAGAAATAAATCTGAAAAAGGAACAATACGATTAAACCTTGAGTGATAATCAACAATAAACTTTGTAGTATTCTGTTTACCGAGAGCTAATCATGTCAGAAAGTGGATCTTCAAATCAAATGCCGCCGAAAGTGCTGCCTGATGGACAAGTTAAATTTTCTATAGATAATATTCTCGGTTTAAACCGTTCTAAATCTCCAGAAAAAGACACAGCTTCATCCAGTAATAACAGCAGTGATGAGACATCCAAAGATGCTGGTGACGAATCTACATTTTCATGGTTACAATGTACCAGATATAAACCACCAAAATTACAAAGTAAGTTGAAAAAACATTTCTTTTTTACTTTTTTTTATCTTAAATGTATAAGTTTTTTTAAAGATATTATACCAGAAGTATGAATTTTTTTAAAGTTTGCCATTTAATTCGAATGAAAAAGCAACCTGAAACAATCAATGAAATTATCTGAAAGAGAATTTTTTGAGAATATAAAATCTTTTAGCCAAATTATGACCAAGTTTAAAAATCCAGTTACCTTCTTATTCTAACCATTTTTCTTCATACTTTATAATTTTTGGACAGTATAGCAAAAAGAAAATAAAGGCCACGAAAGGATCCGCAAGCAACAGTTCACCTTCTATTGTAGTTCGTCAAATTATTTGATTTTCGGGAAATAGTAAGAAATATAAGTATATATATATAGCCTATATATACCATATTTTCTAAAAAAAAAGAATGATATTTATTATCCTCTATTTATGAAATTTAAGAGAACGGATCTCTATAATATTAACTTATGAAAAAGTAAGGAATTACAATATTTGATATATAGCTATATTTGAATATTTAAAATAGTATTAAAATTTATCATACACTATAGCTTTAAATGAGTTTTGTAAATAGATATTAATGAAATTTTTTATGCGCATATATAGCTTTATATAAGTATCTAAAATGAAATTCATTATGCGCTATTTAACTCTAGCAAGTGTCTAAAATAGCATCATAATTTATCGACAGAATTTTCGTTAAGTAAAAATTAACACATTAATCACTGGCTTTCGGTTTTTTCGGATATATTATCATAACTTATTACTATATAATTTTGAAAATAGTAAAAGTACCAAAAAATCTTTAAACGTAAATTGTTTCCCTTGTTTGCATTCAATGTTTAGTTCGCATAAATAGTTTTGAAGGTATAATATTCTCAACTGAATTTTACGCTCAATCCCCCGTTCTTCAGCACACAAAAATTAAAATAAATTTAAAGAACATTAAAAAGTACATGTGATTCATTTCAACTAGTGAGTTACATATAAGTATATAATATTTGATCACGCTTTTAAGAATAGCTATCCGTGTCCTTTTTTGATAGTTTATATCGGACAATTCATTTTGAACAAACACCAACAAATATTTCTAATATCTATCTCCAGGAATCAAAAAGAAAGAAAATGGCAAAAAGAGAAAATTGGGTAGAAACCCACGAGTACCATTCTCACAACATCAAGTAGCAGTTTTAGAAGAAAAGTTTCGCAGAACACATTATTTGAGTAGCATGGATGTTGCTGAGTTGTCAGCAAATCTGAACCTCTCTGAGACCAGGGTAAGATTCATTTTGTCAAATTCGCATATATAGGAATCAGATAAATGCCGTCAAATTTCGGACATCAGTTGTTAATTGAACGAGTTGCATTATTAGATTATTATATCACAAACTGTCATAGTGAATGTAATAAGTGTATTATTATTATTATTATTATTATTATTATCCGCCTGGTAATTAATTAATTAATTAATATATCACTATGACAATGTTTAATTAATGTCTGACAGGCAGTGTTGGCACTATCATTAACTTTATTGAAATTATTATTCTGTATAGAGTGTTCCTGGCATATACTTCCGTCTAAATGATTTCTTGATAAAATAAATGCCGTGAGTAGGAAAATTTTTAAAACTTTTTGAATCATCCTGTTTTGAAGCACGGATGCTTCTTAACCATTATTTTCTGGGCAATGACAACATGCTCCTGAGAACAACATGGAAAAGTTACTATATCATCTTTGCTCACGCATTAAATTTTCACTTAAAATCAATTTTAACAATTTTCAATAAGAGACTTTCTTGCTCCTACCCCTTAAAAAGCAGAGATTTAAATAAAGAAAAAAAAAACCTTTAAAGGGACAGATGCTCCATTTTTTTACCAATCGTACCTTAGTCTCAGAAACGGGATTTTAGTTTAGCTTAGCCAATCAGTAAATGTTCATAGGTCACCGTTAAATTTTGAGCCTTCAGTTCCATGTGTGTCCAGAATTATCTGCTTTTGCAAATTGAAAAGACTTGTTATATTTTGAGACACTGTCAAACATAGAAAAGAAATTTATAGAAATATGAAAAGAAATTCCTAGTTTGGGATACTTTAGAAGGAATTATGCGATTTTCGTACATTTCTGTACTCATGAAGACTATTTACATGATATATTTATGACTCAAATCAACACCCCAAAATGGCAATGTCACTATAATAGTTGAATATGTCTAGTTTTTATTTCACCTATATTTTTTTATGATAGAAACATATTAACATCTTTAGTTAGTCAAACCACATAAATGCACGTGATGCCTTGAAATGTCTGGACGCCGACATTATAGTAATCATGGATATCATCCCATTCTTTGTCTTCGACCTCAAACGCTTTCCGTCCTATATTTTGTTTTGGATTTGTTATAATTATGTATTAAAGGGGTAATCGTATATGAATGAAAAGGATTAAAAGTCAACCGCGTGTCCACATTCCAGTCTATCATTATTGTATCACGTGACAATCACGTTTACAGTACGGCACGAGCGTGATGATGTGTTAACAACAAGGGCAGGTAATTTATCACCCTCTATGACTCGACCCATCTGTTTTCTAGCCCTTTAATTAGAGGGCTCGTATTTTCGAAATTTAAATTGCAGATAAATGAAATATTTAGACGATAAAGTAATATTAATACCTAATGTGGCGTATTGGAAAATATTCCAATTGTCAGTAGTAAAAAATTTGATTTAACAAATTGAAGATTTTATTGTTTCTTTCTTTAAAGCCTACACGTGAATTTTTTTTAACATTAGATATAATTGAAACCAAATATAGTTATTATTATATGTCATCATTATTATACAGTTATCAATGATGTTTGTATTCTTTGTGATTTATTAATACATACGTTTAAAAAAAAATATGAGAAAATCGGTGAAAGCTGTTATAGGCTGTTGTATTGTTCAGGTTATAAATCATTACAAGTATAGTGTGTTATATAAGCCTAATAAATCATAAGATATATTTTTTGTAGATTATTGTTCTTTCTTCAAATGATTTCTTTTATTTACGTCGGGTTTTCTGTTTTCACGTGTTTTATAAACATGAATCATATCGTGTAAATCATATGAATTATTTGTAAGCACACCAAAACACCCTACGATTTCTGATTATAAAATATTTGAATGGTGAATTGGGGTTGTTAGTTTGCTGAAGATAGATTGACATTGTTGAATTTTTGTACTGGGAGGAATAAAGCTAACAATCCTTAACTGTCACGGACGAAAGTTACTTTGCCTTGCAAGCTTTCATTTGCTTTCTTTATGAACAGGTTCGCCATCCGTTTGACCTATCGTACCTGTCACAGAAACAGGGGATCTTTAGCTAAGCTAATCAGTAATAGTGTTAACAGTTCACTGTCTCAATTTGAGTCTTTTAATACTTGTGTAACCAGAATAATCTTATATTTTTAATATATAAATGCAATATTTCAGGTAAAAATCTGGTTCCAGAATCGAAGAGCGAGGGAAAGAAGAGATCGAGATTCAGCTCAACACTCTCAAATATTCCATAGTAATAAAACTATATCACCATTATCTATACCAAATATAGCATGGACCATGTCATCTCCATCTTCATCTACTGCATTTTCTCATTTCCGCACTGCCCTGGAATTTTCTCGGACTGGATTTCTTACATCAGCGTTTAGTTTATATCCACCTAGAACTGAAACAAGCTCAAATTGGCAAGCATTAAAAGATGATGACAATGATGACACTCGTTAAATTAGGACTACATTTGTATTCTTACTTATAACATATATATGGTAAGTGCAATAATTGGATTTCTGATAATAACAAAATTGCGATCGGATTCTTCGAAATACGAGTTCAGAGACTAAATTACAATATATCCATTCAACAAATCCACCGATAAAAGAGAAAACATGACATGTAAATATCCGAATGCAACCCATAGTTCAAAGCCATGAGTGCACATCATTCAAGTTTGAAATGACCAAGTGTGAGGTGACCACAGAGTGAGGTAGCCCATGTCCAGAGCACAGTTGCTCTCATTATATAACATTTGACAAACTGCACTCAATATTAAATTTTCTTTATGAGTATTTAATGTGTCTTTATTTCTTATTATGCTGAAGATATTCCTAGTCTTAAAACTTTAAGAATTTGTGCTTTACTGATAGGTAAGGCCTGCTTACTCTTCTGGAGCTCCCGGTGCTTATCAATTGTCAATGATACAGAAGTAGAGGCCAAAATCTGGAAATAGCATTGAATATTCCTTATGGAGACCATTTGTAATCAGTGCATATAGCAGTAGCACAAGCAGAAGTGCGGTGAAGGATTGTCGAGCAGTAAGGAAAAAAACAGCACACGGCAAACAATGTATATCACCATGAACTATACGTTCAAGTCCTTTCATTACAATTTCGTTTGTCTATTTTTGATCGCCTCTGTTTTAATTTTCTACACCTATCGCGTTCTAATGAAGTTATTTTTAACCAATGAAAACGTGCAATGTTCCTTCCTACCAACGACAAAACCTAAAGGCCATATGATAGGTTAAATTGGAGTATAATACTAAATTAGAGTATAATATATATACATACATGTATGTACTAGGATTTTATTATTTTAAAAACATGTTGATCAACGTTGTTTCACTGTAATGTTTCAACCATTTTGCTAAAGTCGGTTGCTCTAGACAGTAAAACAAAAGCATCAGGCCCGTAGCCCCGACGTTTAATCGTCTGTCAAGGTGCTTTGCTAAATTGCCCCCCTCGATTGCACGTAATAAAATAACTAAATAAAAACACATTTAATAACTCAAGACAAAACATCACAGAACGAATTTCAAACAATACATTTACATAAACATTCAAAACCCCCGATTCAAGACCAATATACCCCGTTTTAGATCAGTGTATCTGAACGAGCGGAACGTTATGTTCCCGCTTCAGATGTGACTGGAAACCAAACCGACCCAAGGCAACCACAACCCCAAATCAAACAGCCAGATCGTCTGACTAAGGTAAGAGCCAACTCTATGAGCGGAGTGTTATAACTCCCACAGGACGAACATGCTTACCGAGCCGTCTACCGACCGACTGCCTGTAAGAAGGTACAATAGTGTTTGCTCACGATAATCCCGTGCAATAGGCCTACTAAAGTCAACTCTCATTGGTCGAATCCACACTCGATTGTTAAAATGCCATAACGTACAAAATAATCCGGAAACTCCAACTTCCGGTTCGTATCAAATTACGGTACATTAAATATACCACCTGCTACACAATCATTTGCACAAAATGTTTTAGTGGGAGTGAGTCCTATATATTTTCGCCAGTTACCATAAGGGGAAGGGAAAAAACCTAACCTGTAGACATACATATTCAAATTGTAATCCATGAGTCACAGTCCAGATATACGAAATTAAATAAGTAAAATATCCATTTTAATCCATATCCATATCATTTATAATGAAATGAACGGCAAAGGAATAAGAAAATAATAGTACAGTGAATCCTGCTCATGAGACCACCCCTGCTAAACAACCAACTTTAATATGCAGCCACAATAAAGTCTTGTCTGTATGTAACTCGAACAGGCATATTTTTTTATTTTCCTGGCCGGACATTTTGAAAGATTGCCTGTATTGTTAGGCATGTGAATGGTCTAATAATGACGTAGTACTCAGACCTTAGGTCACGATCTTTATTACACTTATTGACAAGCTTTCGACTATCAACCTATACTTATTTTTGTTTATTTATCACTAATCTTAGGGAGTTTTAGATGTCAGCTTTTACAGTATATACTTGTTGTTCTGTTTTCTATCATTATTTTTTGCTTGATAAAGATTCCAGTATGTGAATTGGAACGCTGCAGAAATTAAAGAAAGGGGTAGTATATCCATAACAGTGTTCTTATTTACTTAATCAAAAAAGTAGGCTAATGCCACTGTCCTGACAAAATTTCCCTCATTGCACATTGCATGGCGCTGTCCGTCTGCCTGAGAGTAGAATGTAAAACTGCATTATTTTTTTTTCATTTTCTTCGGCAAGAAGAAGGTGATAAAGGAGGTAGTTTGAAAATAACAAGAGGTTAAGTTTCAGAAAAAAAAGGTTTAGTTTTTGGTCATGTAGGAAAAGCCCGGAATCTGGATTGAAAGCATAATATACAGTTCTGATGAAACAATTTTGATGAAAAGACCATTTGGAAATTGATTCTTTTGAAAAGCTCTGCGCTCAAAAGAGCTTCCTATCTTTCTAAATTAAATTGTTGGACTTAAAACAACTTACAATGATCATGAGGATAGTGTTAGGATATATCTATTTTTACGCATACAAATTCATACGTCCAGTGATACATAATGAAATAACATCACCCTCTGCTTAGATGTTTGGTTTGCAACAACTTCATCAGATGTTCAGGTCCAGTTCCCCATTTTAATAAGTGACTCATTAGATAACCTAAATTGATTGTCATCCAAACATATGTATGTAAATGAATTAATGTTCCAATGAGAAATTTTCTTCGTTTTGAACAATTTGCAAGATACATTGCAAATACAAATTTACTTTGCAAGCTAAGGGTGTGGCTGTTGCTATGTAAACCAAAATATTTAATTTGAAACAAGGTAAAAGTCATTCCCCAATATGAAATATCTGCTTATATTTTAAGGTAGATTATATTTATCATTAGTAAGACCGAATTTAAACTTAAATACTCAGTGTTTTCTCGCGCAGTTTACCACCCCATCATCTGCCTGGATAGGTCCATTAAAGGCCTATTCAAATTAAAGACATGGAAAATGAATGATATTATATTTAATGAAATTGAATTACCACAGAACCTACTAGTTGTTAGAAAGGGGTTTAGGCGCCTCTATCAATAAAATAATCATTATAAAAGTATTAGTAATAATAGTTAATGAATATTCTTGCTTATTGATGAATCTGCATTCTTTATATTCATAAAAGCTTCCCAATGATTAAATTGGTTGTTTTTATTATTTTTAAGATACATGGGTCAAAGTAAAGATAAGGGCACTTCGTAGCAGCTACACAAAGGCCAAAATAAGGGGACCAAGGGGGCGTGCGAGGAAATTTTCGAAAAGAACTAAGTGGTTGCTTGATAAGTTACAGTTCTTAGAACCATGTGTGGCAACAAGACCCTCAGTCTTACATCTGTATACAGGAAGTATTTATGACAAGACAACAACACAAAACAATTTCCCATGATCAGTCATTTTTATTCAATACAAAAACGTCTTTAAAGGGACAGGTGCAGGACAGGTGCCCGCCATTTATTTGAACTAAGCCAATCGGTAATAGCGGTCACAATTCATCGTCATCGTCATCGTTTTTTTGAATATTAGAATTATACTGGTAGCCTACTCTGTGATATATAGGAAAGACATATATAGAAATAGTGAGTAAAATTCATAGTTTGAAGTATTTTTAAATCAACCGAATTGAAGCGCTATTTCGTAAATTTGAGCAAAAAATATTTCAAGCTTACTCAGAAATTTGAATTTCATTATATTCAAAAACATTTCAAAATACTTGATCAATAACCTTTCAGTTGAAACCTAAGATATCATTTAGTCAAAATTTCCCTCTGACACTTTGCATCAGCTGCAGCATTTCGACTTAATGTTGGTTGAAACCCTATCAGCTGTGAATCATTTCTCCAAGCACTAGCAGTGACACTATGGTAGCTGACATTTGCAACATCTGCAACGCATGTATAAGAATGTTTATTTTTTTCAATCATAAGTTGTGCAAGCAACAAGTGGCAAGAATTATATTAGTTACTTTGTCAGGATTCAAATTAATGGTTGTGAGAAGTATTCTGAAACGGTTTGCCAAAATTCCAAAAGAATTTCCGACGACACGCCTGACTCTGGAGAGCCGATACTTTATCTTTGTCGAGATTTCGATAAGGATATGGTTTTTATCATTGTCCTTTGAAGGCATCGTTTCCAACGAAATTGTACTTTGGAGTGTTGATATCAATCGATAGATGAAGGGGTGGGAGGTTGATGGAGCTGTCATCCAAGGCTTTTTTATAGTTGATTCAATGAAAACCCAGGAATACCCTGCCCGACCTGGTGCACCTATACATCTACATATAAACTTATAATTTGCATCTTCGATAGCCAACAATAGAACACTAAAAAAATGTTTGTAATTGAAATAAATAGTTTGTCAGGATGCGGCTTGTTAAAATAACAGGTAATAGTTCGTGAGAAAATTACTTATTTATCAGGATTCTGTTTGTCAGGAAATAATTTATCGGGATTCGGTTTGCCATGCTGTCAGGAAATAATTTGTCAGGAAATAATTTGTCAGGAATTAACTTGTCAGGATTTGGTGCAAGGCTGTGACAATGTGACATGGTTCAGGAATTTTTATCCAAGCTTTTATATTTTACATAGAAATGTAATTTAGATCATTCCCGACACGTTCCAGATTATTCCGTGTCAGGAATTAGGTAAGAGTAACGTCTTACTCAATTGC